TACTAGAGGATATTTAAATCAATATATCCACACATACAGACACAAAGATGTATACAGTTAAATGCATAAAGGCATTCCTGTTAAAAACTCCCCAGTCCATCTTGCTCCACAGAGTGGCAGTGTGGTTGCCTCTTGCCTCTGAGCCTCTTTAAACAGATTCATGCCCTATTAATTGTAATTTGAGGGAATTTTCTTTTGTTAGATTACCTAACTATCAAGGTTTTGTTAAATGTGAGTGTAAACATGAGTGAGTAGTATTATATATGCAAGGTGGTCTTTGGAACACCTAGCTTTTCTCCACACTCTAACATAAAAAACAGTACAATAACAAGTATAATACAATGGAAATTAGCAAAGTGATTATGGGGTGCAACATCTGATTTAAAGTTTCTGTTACTGTTGGTAACCATATGAATAAAGTGCCCCGCCAGCACTGATTTCATTCTTCACTATTTCCAGAACATAGTATCTATTCCACGATGAACATGGATTAAAGCTTTCTGTCCATTGTTTCCAGCATGTTCTAGCAGTTGACACATGCCATCATGTTGCAGTAGCTTCTTTACCAATGTAAAATTCATTCCAGTGTGGGGTGGGCAGTAAATCTTTATATGATGTGCAGTTAGATTACAGCAGTCAGTAGGTTGTGACATGAGCTGAATAACTAAAGTCACTTCCCACAATTCTGGTAAAATTACAGACATTTGAGCAATTGCTCATCTCTACAGTGGTGCTGTCTGGAAGGATAGTGCCACAATTAGTTCTCATACAGACACATCTATTTCCAACATATACAAGTACAGTTTCAGGAGTTTTTTCAGGATGTATTTCAAAATGGCATTTTTTCAGTGTCAAAGACAAATGTCTCAGGTATTACTTTCACAAATAAATCCTTGCTTTTCCCATACAACACATGCATCAACATTGACAATTTAACATTTGTTCCAGTTTTGTTGGGCTTGTACTCCCTGTTCTATTGGTTAGAGTACAGTTCCATTGTGATTTAATCCCTGTGCAATGATCTCTATACAGCATTCTCTCCTCCAGGCTGAACAGCCCCAAATTTCTTCACCTCCCTCATAAAGAAGGTGATTCCATCCTCTTATCAATGTCATAGCCTCCTCTGGGTTTACTCCAACAGTTCCATGTCTTTCTTACACTGGGGACACCAAAACTGCACACACTACTCCAGTGGGGTCTCACAAGAGCAGAATAGAGGGGCAGAATCCCTTCCTTTGACATGCTGCTTATGCTGCTTGCAGCCCTGGGTTTGATTGGCTTCCTGAGGAGGGAGTGCTCAGACAGAATTACTGTTGGATGTGGTTTATTCTGATGTATCAGATCACCTCAGGACACCAGCCTGGAAGGCCTCCTGTCACTAGCATTTTTGCTGGACATTTGCTACTGTCATTGTTCCAAATTCATCTGCTTTAGAATCTGATGCTGCTGGGAAACCTGTGGCAAATAATAGTGCTTATTTCTCTTGTTTGAGCTGTTGATCCTTACATACAGTGTAAGTTTTGGCTCTAGGACTTGTACCATTTTTTCTCCCTATCCTCATATTTTCTCATTCTTTTATGGTCACTTCTCCCAGTAGAAGTTTTGCTGAAACTGAAAGCAACAGGATATAACGGGAAGCTGCTACTAATTTACTATTATTAACTTTTCTAAAAATATTTTATTAAAGGAAATTTTGACTGTGCTCATCCTTGTCAATTGGGATTAGAAGTGACCTATTATTTTCCATTGTCCCTTCCAGTGAAAGACTGGCAGTTCATGAGAAAAAAGAAAGAAAAGGACATGTGATTTCATAGAATTAGATTGGTAAATTTAGAGCCATCATCACAATTCTCTCCATGGTTCAGTGTTCATATAAATTATGATCTGGATATTCAAAATCATCTACTTATGTGTTCTTTGGCTACACTGAGGGGTTACAAAGGTACTTTAAGGGAATGGTAGGGCTGCTTATAGAAAGTCTTGACAAGGTGCACTTTAGGAAAAGTGATAGCAAATTGAATGTGCAAATGTGTAGGCACACAAACTATTTAATGCTTTTAAATATCAGTGTTTCTGATAATAGATCTGCCTCATCCCATATGCATTCAGTACTTCCAATTGTATCAAAGAGCAAAAGCCTAAAAATATCTAGGGAGACAATGCACAGGTTTTCCTAACTAAAAGTGATTTAATCCTTAGTCATTTTTCTGAAAGCAATTGTTATAAACCCACGCACATTCCATGCACTAGACCATCACAGATAGATCTGCAATAGAGTCTAATTTATAGCTTCTGAATGCCAAAACTCTTCTTTGCCCATATTTAGCTCATATGAAATATAAAAAAGTGAGATAACTTTTGTCTCGAATAATTTTCCCCAGAACTATATTTTGCTATGTCATCTTTAACACCATGATTAAAAAAAAAAAGCACCACAAAATCTTTGCAGAAGAAAACACTCATATTAGTATTGTAGGTTCATTACTTTACATAGCTGAAAAGTAGCTGTTACATCCTCTCTAACAATACATAATTTCACAATCTTGACAATTTTGTCCTCTGACTTAGCTGGAGAAAAACCAAGACATTTGAAATATATAGTCTTTATTATATTAATTCATCTAAGTTTCTTTTTTGTGTACTTATATCCTAAACTGCATGTGACCTATCAATATTTAAGTGTACTCATTAAGTGTAACTTCCTTCAGAAAAGAGAAATTTCTCAGCTAAGAACAGTTGCCATTTCATGTCTGACCCATTTAGACATAATGGTAGTGTCTCTCAAACTCATCTATGCAGAAGTATGGTATGGATTATCTGCTGAAATTTGGTGTGCTGTAAGGATATTTTGGAAGTATATCCTGAAATGTATGTGATCCATATATCTTTAAATAATTCTAAATGCCATTAGAATGCCATGCCATTATTTTACAAAACCAAAAAATTATCATCCAAAGTTATAAAGACAGAAGTGTCATAAAATAAAATATTTGGATTATTTCAAAATCAAATCCTTGTAAAGCTCAATGAAGATCTCTAGAAATTGTAGCAAATTGGCACATACCCTGAATTTCAGGAACTTGTATCTCCTGCCAGTTATGCATCTTCAGATTATGTTCCTAAGAAAGATGTTTTGGAGAGAATGATAACTTGCATGTACATGCCATTTTTATTTAATTTCAAAAATCTTTTCTTGTCATTGAAAATAATGACAGACAGCTTACCTTGAGTAAGTTTCCTTCCTGGATCACCAGTGGCTCTTACTTCTCTTTAAATGTAGTTTGGATAGGATCTTCTCTCTCTTCCTCAAACCAGCAAGTCATTAACCTCTGAGGAAAATGTCCTTTCTTACCTAGTGCAGCAATATAGATATTTTAATTTGCATTTATTTCTATTTATCAAACATTATACTTTATCAAATTATATAAAGCAACAGTTATTATTGTTGCAAACTTCATTTATACACATAAAGGAGGTTAATACTTTTTTCCATTATGAGCTCATAACTGAGAGCAGATGTGGTTGTAGATTAGAGTTTCTGATGATGGCCACATTTATGACAACTGACTCCAACTTTTGCCTTTGAAGAACTTTATAGTGTATATTCCAAATACAGTATGAGACCTGGCCTAAAGCATAAAGCAAAAGGAAAGATAAAGAAAAAAATAATGAGTTATTCTGAAAAAAAAAACCTGGAAAATATTTCTAAGATTTAACATGTTCAAGATATAGATAATCTAGTTTATCACTGGTTGCATTACACAATTAATATAAATTTAAAATTTTTAACAGGAGGATGAGTTGCTTCTCCAAAGCACAAAAAGAAAAAGGAGCAGATAGCTTGGCTTTGATACCATTTCAGTCAACTTGAATGATGCCAAGAAAACTGCTGGTCATTTTTTCAGGTTTACTAACATTCTCTTTTTCTCTGTTACTGGTGGAATTTGAGTCTCAGAACTGTAACAGCCTGTTTTTCTCTCCTATTTTTGATTCAAAAGCTATTGTATAGCTGCCACTACTTAGCGACCTTTTCCTCCTGGCGTGCAAAGCCTCTCTTGCAATGTCTCTTGCTTTATTGCCCTGTGAAGTAATATCAGCCAAAACAGTGGGAATGCAAACCTCTCCATGCTACCAGAGTACCCACAGGATACTGACAATCTATTTTAAAATGTTTATAATTGTTCACAATTGCAGTTCCTCCAGCATCTGCATGGATTCGTTTCAGAAGAATACCATGTGCCCTTTCCTGAACTAAATTAGTTTAGGTTTAAGAAGTCTTAATTAATTTTATAAAAGAGAATATGCTATATCCATTACTGGACTACACCATGCCACTAGGCAACCTGGCAACTAATGTATCCATAACTATCCGTACCTTTCATTCTTCTTGTAAGAATTAGAAAATTTTAAAAAGGAAAGAATAATTGCCTCCTGTAATCCACCATTCTTGCCAATGTTTTTGGATATTTCTAAAGATCTGAATCTATTATACTTTTAAATGGCTACATTTCCATCCTTTCCTCAGAAGAATATTGCCCATCTCAGAAGAAATGCTAATTTCTTTTTTCTTTCAAAACTCATATGTGTTCTCATGTAGCCTTTTAAACTGATGGCTTTCTTGCTTTTATGAAGTGCCCTTGTGTCTCCTATGTATCAATATCACCTTTAACTGGTTTCCATAAGAGATGCTATATCTATAGTTAATGTTCTGTTCAAGTACAAATTTACCAGCCTCCATACAATTATACTGTGTTTTATGCTCAAATCAAAGCCAAATAATGGAGAGTGAATTCAATAATCAGAAAGAGCATTGGGAAGGACTGCAACTCATAAACATATTTTGGTTTCCTATTGCATACAACTTGCTGTCAAGAGTCACACTTATCTACTTTGGCTTTTGATCTAAAATGAAAAGCTGTATTTGTGACCCTGAATGGTTTAATCATACTGACAATTGAAAGATAGATACAACATACACAATCCTAATGTTTTCCTTCCAGTGTGGGGAATTCTGAGATTTAAGAAGCCGAAAATCACTTTCATACTGGAGTTTATAAACAGAAATCAGAAGCTTGGAGGCAGTGAGTATGTCTACCTTAACAAATAATTTGGTGTAATATCAGCAGTCTAATAGACTGAGCTGGTTTATGTCAAGGCCTGAATTTTGCATCTTTTTACATTTTAGAGTTTTGCTTCAGAGTAGATTCAGGCCCATCCCTGTGACTGCATGCCACCTCCATGTGTATGGCTCAGAGCTGCCCAAAGGGACCAGATCTGGTGCACACATGGGGTTCTCTTTGAAAGGAAGTAATTCAAGCCTCCTCTGTAAACTTTGTCTGAACGTGGCAAATAGAGAAAATATCCTGTAGAACTGCGCTGCAGCTCTGAACAGTTTGATGAAATGCACAGGAAGAACTTCTTAATGGGCTGTAGATTCATTGTTTCTTAGTACAGTTCCAATTGTATTTATTCACTCTACAGAAAATAACTGAGTACAAGAAGATTTAAATGCTAGGGGGAGAGGAGACTTTCACAAGCTTTAAGACCATGGTCAAGAAAGAATCTATATGCCCTAACATACACTGCAATATTTTCTTAATTGCAGGACAAGCATGGTTTCTGCTTTAGTTTTGACCTCTGTAGCCCTGTATTTGTCCTCCATGAAACCTAGTACTGGGCTAGAGAGAACTTTGAACTGACCTAGTGTGATCAGTCTCAACCCCAGTCAATAATGGTAACCTTTAAAACAGAAGTTTTAAAAATGTGTGTGAAGAGTGCCAGTTGCCAGTGAAAGACTCACTGTTATTGCAGTTTTTTGTCAGTCTGGAACTTATCAGAAGTGCCAAAATTTGAAAGCATATATATACATAAATATATTTGTATTTATTTATATGTATATATTTGGCATCCTGAACTCTGTACTGACTGAGTAGCCCTTTACTGTGAAGGCAGTCAAACTGTTTTCTTAGTGCTTGTGTTTTAACTAAGGTTCCAGAACTGATTTATTTTCCAGCATATTTTAGTTCGTGTCTCAAAAAAAAAAAAAAAAAAAAAAANNCGACGACCCAAAAAAGCTTTCTAGCTAAGTGTGCAGAACCTGCTCCATGGAGAGATAACTGATGGTGAGTTTTGAAGTCTCACTAAAACTGAATGTAAGCAACAGTCATATTTTTATAAGGGGGCAAGTATTACTGCAATATAGACAGAAGAATCAGCTTCAAATTCCAACTCCTGACTAAGAGGAAATTGTGGCTTTTGCATTGAACTGGTAAGGTAGATAGGGAAGGATTTACTAGCCTTTATGACCATTCTTTCTACAATTGCAAGGCCACAGGTCTCCCTAACCCATCCCACAAAGCTCCCTGTGGAACTGGAATAGCACTTGATGCATATGCAGTGCTGTCTGCACTGAGCCACAGGCACCATCTCCTGCCACCGTGGAGTGGCCAAATGCTGAAAAAAGCAAAGTACAAACGGTTGTGCACTGATACTTTCATCAGCATGTAATACCCAGGTCCTTCTATATTTGATTTAACACTCCTCTGCAGTCAGACATCAAATGAACTAAGGTCAAGTACTGATCATACAGCAGAAATGTAAAACATGAATGTGAAAAAGAGCAAAGTGTCATTTAAGTCATGGAAGTGGTTTAGCTAATGATTCAAGAAAGATAATTTCATTTAAGGAGGCACATGCTTAAGAGTTTCAACTGTTTCTAAGCATGAACCATCAAACACAGTAACAGAAAAACTGTTGCAATAATCCCTTATATTAAGATATATTTTAGCTGAAATGCTTTTATCCTAAAAATTTTGTATGTAATAGTTAAATCTTTGCTGATATAGTCATAGAGAACTGAAAAGGACAAATGTTTTTTTAAAATCTCAAATGGAAAGCAAAAGCCACTTCAGCCTAGATCTACAACGCTTCAATTCCTTTTAATTTATCCCAATTAGCAGGATTTGCATTTTGTGATTTATTTGTATAGAAACTTTTGTAGCTGATCCTGGATTGAAACAACAGAACCATGAGTCTGAACACTGAAATGAAACTAATAAAATAGAACATCCTAAGACTTAGTAAGATCAGGAATCAGGAAATCTCAAATAAATAGAAAGACTGTACTAAATCCAGAAAAAATATTCTCATTGGTAATGCAGGGGAACAATAGTAAAGTCGCCCTTTGAGCCGTAGGAGATAAATAGAAGAAAAATCTTGAATGCTCCAAAATGTTTCCTCTATCTATAATGTAACAATACAATTTTAATAAAAGAAGACAAAAAAGCAGGGCACTGTGAAGAACTGTAATTATTATGATTTCATTTGTAATACAAAAAGTTAAAATAACAAGTTTTTGAGAAAACCTCGTAGTTGCATTGGATGTCATCATCAACCTCTCTGCATTTTATCTGGATAGAGAAGAATTCAGGGGAGGACAGAGCAAAAAAAATGAACACTTTGCTTTTTCCATGCTACCTTGCTTTTGGAAACACATCTTGCAACAACCTCTCTTTAAAATCAGGGAGTTTCTAGGTACCTTCATAAGGAAAATGTCCAAATATTTCCTCTGAAAAAGAGATTTGCTTAAATATGCACTGGATGAATGTAATTATTAGACAAAACATAAGTCAGCTTTCTGTCAATGCTTAAGTTGTGATAAACATGCAGTGCTTCTCAATAGGTTTCTCAAAACGCTGCACACTGTGATTTCTTCTATAAGTTTCTTCAGACTACCCTGGTTATGAACCCAGTTTGTCTTCCAGGGAAAATCAAACTATATATTCCACATGGAGTTTGTTTAGATAAAAGTAGGTAAAAAAAGGAGAATGTACAAGTAATGCATTTCCCTGATTTTTGTGACAAGATGCATGGTATATAAAAGTTCAGAAAGGAATATTCAATATTAACTTATACTTAAGTACTGATGCTGTACCTACTACCTATATTTCTCAACACTTACACAGCTTGATAGTTTTACTCAGTATCTTCTCATAAAATAGAAAATCTCTCCTTCTATTTATTTCCTCAGATATTGCAATTCTGTTACTGATATTGAATCTACAGATTAAGATATCTACCTCTGGATGCCTAGACGTGAGCCAGGCTTTTTGCTATTGTTGTCAATGCAGATGCAGAAAACATAGTAGACTCCAATACATTTTTCATCTCATTGTTAATTAGACACCAGGACAAATTAGTCATACCTACTGCCTTTTTCATGACTTATTAAAAAAATTTAGATTACCAGTGTTCCTTTTTCTCTGAAAGGTGAAATGTGCCATGGGAGAATATTTATTCTGCACGGCCATTTTGGGGGCACACTAGAAGCTTACCCACAATGGCACATTTCATGCTTAGCATTTTTAGCCATTTTCCCATCAATATATTCTTCTGGGATATTCAGTGAGGCCTTTGGTAATTATGCTCAGATGTAAAGAAAACTAAAAAATCCTGTTTCATGGCTGAATGGCTTGAGAAAATCTTAAAAAATTTACTTAAAGATGAATTCACTCCTAGTAGTTATGCTAACAAATCTGAAACTCTTATAAGAGTGTCAATGTACATAAGGTTCAGTGCTTGCTTTCAGATACCGAAAATGTACTTAAAGGCTTGTTGGACAGACCATCTGAGTCATGGTGACCTGTATGGTTTCTTCACACTCCAAAACATGTCTTTTACCCACCTAAAAGCATCTTTGGAAAAATCTCTTGCAGACAGAAGTACATTCCCTGTTAGCAGCAAAATTGTACCCAGGGAGGGGATGCTGTGCACCATCTCCCCTCTCTCAAGGGCAGATGAAGATACAACTTTCCTGCTCTTCTGTGTATTGATCCTTATGAAAGAAGGCATAGATATAAGGGATACATTCCAATTATTTGAGCATGTTCATGTGTTTTTAGCTGTTCTTCATCTAAGACTTACTTATTTGAGAGAGAGAGACATTACAAAGGAAAAGATGCATCTGACAAAACAGTCTATTACTGAAAAAAACTCTATTTCACTAGTGCTCATCATGACATCAATAATGTTCTGAGGCAATAACAGGCAAAAATCAACCAGTTAACAGAAATCTAATCCACAGAAATGTAACTTAACAGCACTGACAAAGTATGCCTAATATGAAACATAAAAGACAACTTTTCCTTTTCTTCTTCATTGGTGGAACTGTGACAGCAACTCATGCAGAGAATTTATAATTTTGGTTCTTTGAGAGAACTAGTTTGAAGAACATCTAATAAGGTTAAAAAGGACAACATATTCAAAATAATTATTGTTAACCCCTGGATTTTATTTTCTCTTTTATTATATAATTTCTCATGGATTTAAATACAGGGAGGTTGGGTCCCTTTTTGTCACTAGTATTTCACATGTAGTATGTGTTCAATCGTGATATTTTTGTTTTTATCTGATAATGACAAGCATTTTGGTTACAATATTGAACTTTGTTCTCTTGTGTTTATGTAGAGATCTGAAAATAGATATCTGAATAAATGTATTAACTTAAAATTCAGCTTCATAAAGCAGTAAGCTATTGATTCAGTATCTGCAGCTAGGTCTCCTTTACAGATAGCACAAACACCTCATTTTTCTTTAATATACAGTTCTTTGTTATGGAAATAAGTCACAGGCTCACAAATTCTACACTTTATAATATACTTTGCTCATTTGACCCTCCATTTTTTGCAGAATATCACTGATGAAAAAATGTTAATGAATCTTATATTGACCTATTTCTTATTTCCTCTAAACAAGTACACACATTTTATACTCTCATATAAAGGAGATTTTGAGTTTTCCATGTGCTTTTCTATATGTTTTTCTGCTTAAATTGATTAAAAACTTATTTTTGATTGGGTACATCAGTGACAAGCATTGTATTTAAATCCACTGTGCGTGGAAGCTGTGTACTTTTATTTTTGTCCCTCTGTAAATCCATCCATACCAAAACAATGCAATGCAAAAGTGTAGCCATCTTTTTTGACCAATTCAGTTCATGGAATCATAGAGTTAGAGAATACTTTGGATTTGAAGGGACCTTTAAAGGTCATCTTGTCAAACCCCCCTGCAATGAGCAAAGACA